AATCATTTGGTCGAAAGAATTTATCCAAGAAGACATTAATTCCAAGGAACTTTTTGATTTAATACAATGGCTACCAAAACTATTCAGTCAAATTTATTTTCAATTTTTCTGCTAATGTAAATCCTAAGAAAAATTCGAATAGTCATTTTTATCTTCGAAAAACTCTCGTTGGAAATAAAAATCAAATCGCTATTTGAATTCTATTGAAGGTTTACCATAGCAGAAAATACTTAAAAATAAACCTAGTCGAATAAGGTTGTAAGCTATTGTATATTTATGTATTTGATTATTGCTATATAATGAAAACTATTATTGAAGTACAGATTAAATAAATCAAACCAGAAGATAACATAATCTATCTATATACATATTGTTAACTTGTTTGAAAGCAGTTATATTGTAATCGTGTTTTTTTTCTCTATTATAATTTTTAGATATCTTAAATGAAATTTGTTTTTGAAAGTTTCTTTCTATTTCTGGAATAATTAAACTAGATAAATTTTCATTTAATCAATCATATGATCCTGTTGACCAATAAATTTAACAGTTAAAAAAGCATTAACTACATGAATAAGTATTCTTAAATGTTGACATTGAACTTCAATATGTATAATTGTTTCTTTTTCGTTTAAAGTTAAATTACGTTTAAATTGAAAAAATATTTTATTATGTCCATTATCAGAACTTGATAAAAGTTGTTCAAATGTAAATGCCCATAAAATAATATTTGTTTTATTATTATACATTTCAAAACCTTTGTTTATATCAATTATTAAACGACATATTTCACCTTGATAAATACAACCAAATGTACGATTTTGAATTGAATAAGTCGATATATAAAGTGATCGTTGATAATTTAATATGAAATCATCATATTCGATTTTTCTTTCTAAACTTAAATAACGATATTCATTTGTTAAATCATGAGGTAATATTAATGTAAAACAATATCGACGATCATCTGTAGACCATTTGAATGCAACAGTTTCAATAAATACTTCAACAATTGGATATACACGTGAACAACGTATAAAATCATAAGCACATAATGGTGGAGATTGATTATTATCAAATATATAAAGATCACTGCCTTTAAAAACCATAAATATAGCTTTCCATCCTGGTAAATAACTTTCATTAGGATAAATAACTTGTTCATAAATCCAAGTAGCATAAAAAACTTGTTCACTTGATAATAATGTTTGATTTAATTTAGCTAATGTATGTGTTGTTAAATTTCGTATAATCGTATTTATACGTGATATCCATATATTTTGTTGAATAGATGTGTTTGTTATAATAATACCTGTCTGAGAACCATCAAATGTATGTAATTGAAAGGCATTTATACGCCATTCATCTGTACCATTTAAATATTGACTAATATATGCATAAAGAAGAGAATATTCTTGAATATTAGTGTCATCAATTGTTGAATTATTATTATTCTATAAAATAATAAATTCTTATCAAAACCAAATAAACGATAGTTTAAGTTTTTCTAAAAAAAATGTAAGATTAATGACATTTAATTGTTCTAATCTTTTTTTTTCTATTATAATCACATGAAGATGTATGGACTCAGGAATACGTATGTGACATCTTCATATCAACTAACTGAGCTAGTGACGCTCTCTTGTTATATAACCTTGGATTTTTGAAAATTTGATTGTATCATATACAATATATTTATGACAACACCAAATCAACTCACGTGTATAACTTAACTTGTATGATCTAATGCAGTGGTATGAGAAAATAATTCGATAGAACAAACGGAGTCTTCAGTGACTCAACTCACATATAATGAACTGATCATCGGACTAGCTCATAAAAAAGAGCTGATCACTAAATTTCACTCATATAAAAAAAAGATGATTACTAACTAGTTGTTTGATTCGACTCTTACGATTCATTGAGCTGCGAGTAATCACGCAACTATTCGGAACCAAAAAGAAAAATAGATAAAACTAATTAGAAACTTCTTATTCTTGTAATTTTCGACAGGTTCTGCTCCAGATTATTGTCTTTTAGTATCTTCAAAAATATTTCATATCGAATATGTACATTTCTTACTGTTAAACCTACATCTTTCACCTAAGGCAGTCGGCATTGAGTGGATACGGCGAGAGATGGGAGGTTACGATAAGCTTGAAAAATCGATTTGTTTTGTGGCTTTTGTCTACTCTCATTCAAATTATTGATTAAACTTAAATTTTTAATCAGCAAATATTTATAATATTGACATATCAATTCAATTTTGTTACTTTTTGTTGATGGGATACTGTCAATTGCAAACATTGTTGTTTAGTATGATCATGGTATTCAGACGAATGTTCTTTTGATCTATATTTTTGATTTCGTCTAATTTTAGTTGAAGATAATTGTCGTAATTTTAAACAATTTTGTACTGATGCTGTAGATGTTGATGATGTTAAAAATAAATACGTAGCCATGTTATTCATATATTTAACAGTTAAATTAACTTGATTATCAGATATATTCCGTAATTTCGTAATAACTTGATCATGAGTTAAATCAGATATATCTTCATTATTGATATTTAATATTGCATCACCAATATTCAATAATAAAGCATTAACATCACTAACACGTGAAATAAGAACAGGAAAACCTGTTAAAGAAAAATTTTTATAAAAGAAAAGAAAAACAATAGAGAATTATCATATTTTTTTAAATTTGACTATGATGTATTTACCAGTATCACAACCACCTTTAATCGAAAAACCAAATGAACATGTTTGTGGATGTCTTTCAATGGTAACATTTCTTGGTACTATAACATCTTCATTATTCAATGACAATATTTCAGTTGGATTTTGACGTCGAATAATCAATGATTCCGATGTTAATTGAAGTAAAACAAGATAAGGTTTTGAACGACCATCACTTAATGTTACTTGATCTTCGAAATGTATTTCAGTTGGATGTGATTGTTGAATATCATGCATTAGAATATTAGTCTACGAAGATAAAGTATATCTTTTTATACGATATTGATATATAGTACTTTTCCTATATTAATATACTTACTCAGAATAAACGAGATAACAATGTTAGTATCAACAGAAATTTATGTCATCAACCTCAAAGGTTGTTCAAACATCATATCTGAAAAACTAAGATTTCTGTCAATATACAATATTGTTGACATGAGTGGATCAAGCCATCTTCAAGATTAGTAAAGAAAAAAAAAAAGACAGAAAGAAAAAGTACATTGTTAGCAAGTGATGAAAAAAGAAGAAAATCGTTTTCCTACTTGAAGGATTTATGCTATGAACTCTTTGTTTTTCATTCCTCTTGCATGTAATGTCAAATATAATAATCAGTTTGTTTCTAAATATGCACTAGCAAAAAAATGAAGAGAAAAACAACTTTGTTGAAAGTCATATTTCAAAACTAAGTAGTACATGATGGCAATTGAATGGTTGCTGCGAATTTTTTTTTTGTTGTGGATGAATATATTATCGATAATAATCTCTTAATAGAAATAATATAAAAGTTCGAAGAAAAAACCAAATGAAGACTAACGATTACAATTGAAAAAAAGCTTATCAAAGATAATATGCTAGCATTTCAAATATGTGCATCGATTCATGTCATTTTTCTTTTCTTCTATTGAAAATAGTCTTCAAATTGCAATGAGATAAACCTCTTGTAAATATGAATATAGAAAGAAAAAGACACTCGGAATGACTAACGATTACTCTTTGTCGATTCGTTCTTTTTTTTTCTTATTATCATCATTGTATTCAGTTCGATGGTGCAAATGAAATTAACTATCAGATGAATGCTTGCATGATCCACTATATATTCCCATCAAGCAAGTTTTAACCCATTCAATAGATGAAAAAAAAACACTAACTGGATATCGGATGTAGATTGATACATATATATATATATGAAGGTTTACTAAAAAGTATAAGTAAATGAGATTTCTTTGAACAGATGTAATAGTTGTAGCGAAGAATTTAATTTTTTTTTGTTTATTAACTTTTATATCAGATGTAAATTTAATCAATGTGATTAATTAACAAAATATTTTTATTTATTTCAAATACAAACAAAAAAAAAAAATTTTTTTTTTTCAACTTCGAAATATTGATTTGTGTTATATTCTATCGGTTTATATATATATATAAATATGCACACAGAAAAACACATTCACTGGTAAAAAAAACCGGTTGGATATTAAAACAAGAAAAAAATTATTCGAAGTAAGAAAAATTTGTTTATTTTTTATTTTCGTTGATTAAAATTGCATATTTTTTTGTTCATGATCATTCTGATGTATTCTATACTGTTCATTCATTTTCTCATTCATGAAATCATGTATCAACATTGATTGTCGTTTTGGTCTATTTGATTGATGATCATTATAATTATTTTTTAATAATTGAACAAGTTGATAAAATGTTGGTCGTTGTTTTTCATCCCATTCCCAACATTTAAGCATTAGTTGATATACATGTGACGGACAAGATGATTGTTGTTCTAAACGTCTTCCATGTTTTAAAAAATAGTATACATCACTGCCACTCATATCACCTTGGGACAAAAAGAAAATCGATTGTTATGTAGATTATAACAATAATAAAAAAACATTAAACTAACCATAAGGTGCTGCTCCATAAGAAAACATTTCCCATAAAGTTACAGCAAAAGACCAAACATCAGATTTTGATGTAAATTTTCCAAAACTTATTGCTTCTGGTGCATACCTATAAATATGAAATATTTATAAAATAACGTCTATGAATTGATTTCATACCATTTAACTGGAATTTTACTATCTGATTTTTGTACATAAATATCCGTTTCGATACATCTTGATAAACCAAAATCACTAAAATAAACTAAATTATCTGTTAATTTTTTTTTTTGGTAGTTTTCTATTTTACCTAATCTTTACTTGATCAGTCGATTGTAAAAGTATATTTCTTGCTGCTAAATCTCTATGGACAATGCCTTTATATTCCATATATTCCATTCCATCAGCAATTTGTGACGCCCATAAATTTAACCGATATTCACTTATGGAAGATTTATGTTTCCATAAATAATCAAGCATTGAACCGAATAAAAGTAATTCAATAATCATCATCATTTCATTACCATTCGAATCTACAATACCATATAATTTACATATGCAATGATGATTTAATTTTGACATATGTTCAGCTTCTCGAAGAAAATCTCGTTTAGCTGTGTATGAATAATCTTTTAAAACTTTTATTGCTACAGGTATAGTTGTAGATTTTTCTCGATAAAATCCTTCATAAACCTCACCAAATTCACCTTCACCTAAATATTTATAAAATAAATCATAGTTATTTTATTTTCTTTGTTTTCTAATTTTTAAAATATTACCTAATTTTGCTGTTTGATGAATTTGATCTGATGAAATAAGATTTAATTTCGAAGATTTATATTTATCTGTTGGTGTCGTTGGTATTGTTAATTGGTAATGTTTTACTTCAGTATGAAATTCAGGTATATATGGTTTTATTTTTCCACCGACTAGATTCCGTCGATCAACAAATAATTTGACATTTTTTAAAGAAGTTTCATGTTGAATTATTGATATTGTTTGTTTAGATGGACTATGACTTGAAAGTGATCCACTAGATGATGACGTTGATAATGGACTTTCTTGTATTGATGAAGCACGAGAACGTGATGATGATGATGAATTAAGAGAAGTTACTGAACTATTTAAGGAAGAAAAAATTTTCGAGCGATGAGTTGATAATGATGATCGAGTATTAGTAAGAGTTTTTGTTTCATCGACACTGTTTTGATGAGTTAAATTATTTTTTAAAACCATTGAAATGTCTAAAGAATAAAGATATGATGAAATTAAAATGTACTTTTTATTATTATGTATCACATATCAAAGAAGAAATTTTATATTTTTAGCTATTGTTATTGACAATAAGTGCTGCAAAACAATGCTTGTTACTTTTATGGAAATTTCTAAAATGGTCAATTGTATCTTGGTTAACTATGAAACCATACCTTTGAATAGAACATTTAATTTTGCATAATAGAGATCATCTCTCCAAATCAATGAATCAAGATGTCGAAAAGTAAACGAATCTCGCTGGCATTAATCGAGAAGACGTATGAAAATCATTGTATCTGATAGAAAATCGATAGAACTTGAGTGCAGTATTCCTGACTAGATAGTTTCCGAGCTTTCTTCGTATTGTGTACTATCACCCTGTATAGTTTTACTTGGCTGATTTATTTCTACGAGTTCTTAGGCACAACTGTTTCAGTCGGATACAAATGATTTCAATTTGATCCTGTGAAACAGTCGTTGGAATCATATTCTAATCGTCGATTTTAGCATTATCATTCATCTTGAGCTTATCAAACATATAATCAACGTATCAAGTGTCTTTGATAAATTTCATTAGAATGCAGGTGAATCGCAATTATAAACTATTGAACGGACTGTATGAGACGTGAGCTAAAAATCGAATAGAATATACTTGAAGTACATAATAACTATTTTATCTTCACTTAATTATGCTAGAGTCAGTCGAATCAAAAATGTCGGTCTTAATGAATCCTATCCCATGAACAGTCTCTTTCTCATTAATTTCTTTTGTAAAACTCGTATAAAAAATATTTGAATGTTAATTTAGTTAAAAATTTCCAGATCTTCCCGCTCTTCTTTTCCTCCTCAGTGACACATATGTCACCAATACAGACAGATGCGTGCTAATAATAGTTACAACGTTTGATTCCAATTGATTAAATTTTTTAAATTCAATTTCTTGACAAGCTTGCTTGTTTAAATTAATTATCTTACAAGATAAGTTCTTCAACTGATTTCTCTCAATTTTGGAGTCTGAACTATATGCTTTATGTAGACGTTAATGAACTGTTATGATGTTGCATTTTTACAGTATTTTTCTAGTCAACGCCGTAATCTAGCTCAAAAACACTAGGAAGGAAAATTCATTTTCGAATTTCGACTTGAAACTTTCATAGGAATTGATTTGACTGAAAAAAGTTTATTGTAAAACTTTCAGATCATTTCGTTGTTCTTACCTTTAGATACATCTACAACAAAAGCTTGTCTTTTACATAACTCATATGAAAGAAAAAAAAGGAAAAATTCTGTACTTTTCACCATACTTCAAGAGCATGTCACAGCTATCCTCAAGAACTTCTTAGCTATTTTAATTCTACTATCAACATATGTCACGAGCATATTATTTTGAATTGATTTTATACAAGTCTGTTTAGCAATAAAGTCCAAACACTCTATTGTATTTCAATATTTGAGTATCAATGAAGTGTGAAGCAGTATTCAAACTTTATTGTCAGAACGAAACTTATATAAAATGAAGTCAAAAGGACATGTTCGTGACACATGTTGATAGAAGACTTGAAAAAAATGAAAAATTCGAGAGAATTACTTTGACATATCTTTGAGTTGCAATAAATTACAAAATTGTTACTTTTTTCTCATTGGTTCGTATATGTATCAACACATTTGATGTTCTGATTTCGCGATAGAAATAAATCAAAAGATCGAAAGCTTTCACAATAAACTATTCTCGTAAAGATCTCTCTTTATGGAAAGTTTCAAGTTGAAATTTGAAAATCGATTTTCCTAAAGGAGACCATGATGTTTACTTGAAAAATTCAGTAAAAATGCAACATCTTATCAATAATATGCTAAACGCTTGACCTGTTTCCAGAATATTTATAATTCATTAGAGTTTATTGGATGTAAAATTATTGAATTCGAATCTAATAAAATTTGACGTTATCGATTTACCTTCAGTCTGATTATTTGTATTAGAAGTTGTAAATGGTTGAACACGACTTGAAATAATTTCTCTTAATCCATTAACTGAACATGTTAATGTCGTTGGTAATCCATCAGGTATTCGACAATAATGATCAATTAAATGTTCAAGTGAATCAAAAA